GAGAGAGAGAGAGAGAGAGGGGACGACACAAGCCAGCGACGAGGCATACTAACCCGTGGCGCATGCGCATGTGTAGCAAAAGTGGCGTTTTGGTGTGTGTGTGTGTGTGCGTACACGCATCGCATGAATAAGTAAACAGGAAAACACACTACCGTAAGGGAAAGGGACTAGCTGCAGTGGAAGGAGAGAGGCAAGAACGCAATGCATGGTTGGGGCCAGCGCTCACAAAGTCGCACACACCTTCATGAGGGCGTAAATGCGAACACACACACATAATACAATGGTTTGAGACCACTTCAGTACAGCAAGTCAGGACACGTGTCTCTTGATGATGGTCGCAGACGTGAGAATATCAAGCAGATCTCCACGCCCCTTTGACTGATGCAAAAAGTTTTAGCAGCAATCCAACCTTACCGTTTGACAAATATAACTCTTCGAATAAATGCGTATCTCTGCCATCAGTTACTAAGTCACCTTTCCAATTCACGAGGTCAAAGGGTCGCCTCTGTGTGAATTAATAGCAAGAGCATTGAAATTGACCAGGTGGTGGGTGGGTAGGTGGGTCGAATGAAACAGGTGCGAAGTGAGCATTTCAAATGAAGTGTTTTTTTTCCCTGGTTGGCACAGCACGACTGGACAGGCAGGATGACATTTTTATCCGCCCGCGTGTGCAGAGATTTGCATGCAATAAACGCGTCGGGAAAAAAGAAGACGTAATGCGGCTAGCACTGTGACCGTGGCTACGTTTCCGTGCAAATGGGGAGGGAGGGAGGGGGAGAGGGGGAGAAGCAGGTGAAAATTTGACTCCACCGGGGCTCAGAATGGAAAAAAAAACAACTCAGATAGATCAAAACTGCATCAATTTGCCCGGGGAGAAGTTCGCCTTTGTGCACCCAAAAGGAGGGCGGTCATGACAAAGCCTCCTTTCAGTTGAGGTGCGACTTACTTAATCTAGGGCATTTCTACTTTGTACTTAGATTCCAATGCTATAAGAAATAGCCAGAGGAGGTAGAGGTCTTATTGGCAGTATGCAAAGCAAGTAATGCTGTCATATTCACATTGTTTTACTAAACAAAAATAGTAAAAAACAACCATTAACTCTGAATCACTACAAACGCCTGCATTAAACATATTCCAACATCAGCAACAATGCATGTGTTTGCAGGTTGCAATAAGTTGCATTGCCATAGTGACCAAACAATTGTAGGGATGATAAGGTGAAAATAAGCCTAATTACTAGGTTGATAATGAATTATTCACTGCCTGCCTGCCTGCCTGCCATGGGTACACGCATGCAGACAGACCGACGGAATGCGAGAGAGCGCCAAGTGTGAGATGAAGTAGAGGGGGCCATGTGAGGGGTGTGAATGCCTGCCTCAAATTTTCTGCAGAAAACCACACCTCCACAAGCAGCATTCACAAACGCCGGCTTTGCGTTTTCAACTCACTGTATTAAAACCACCACTTGTGCCCCCTCATCTAATTAGGTCATAATCCCAACAACGAAAAGACATCCAAATTTACGAGCATTTCATGCCCATTTGCCTACGAGATTGAGGACACGATAATTCCTCCCCTCCACGGTCATTAAGACGCACTAATAATCAACATGATGAAGGTGAATACGACGAAAAGGGAAAATGCATAACCTGTCAAGGGTATCTTGCAAACAAAGAGTTCCAAATGACCAATCAAAAAAGAATGCTTCATCGGACCTCATCATCAAAGCCCGCTATACTTGCACCATAAGCATACTTCACTTTGCCAAATAATGACCCTGTTGTTATAAAAAAGAAACAAGTAAACAGACCTCGAAAAAGAAGCGCGTGCGTGTGCAGTCATAGGAGTCACAACGGCGCATACTTCATAGAGGCGTGAGAAAATCTCCCCACAGAAGCAGTTGATGCCTCCTGGCTGCAGGCGTTTGTACAGACGCGCCAGGTTAAGCCGTGTATCCACGCGCACGCACACACACACACACACACACAAACGCATTAGGCAGCTGACTGACTGGCAAAAAGAACACCAATGTGGCGATAAATCATGGAGCACTGGAGCGAGGAGGAGGAGCAAGCATCGAAAGGGTATTATTCTCTGGGGTGAAACCGGCTCTTTACTAGTACGCACTACCTGCCGCAAGGCTGTATAGTGAAATGGAAACTCGACTGAACTTCCGTACAGCAGAGAAAGATGCACAACATCGAGGACCTGATTCAAGCTGACAAGAATCCACACGATCTTTTTATTACACCCACTGTCCACCCATGCTCAGGCCAATTGGTATGATGACTGGCACTCAAGTTGATGTGTTCTACCAGCGAAATATCGGTGACCTTTTTCACAAATAACCCTTTGCTTGCACAACATAAGAAACATCGAGATATGGACAGCAGATGGAGATGAAAAAGCTGCAGAAATAGCACCCGTTTGAGGCGGGGGTGGGCAGAGATCACTGCAGCACCTATCATTGAAACATGTGTCAATGACGGAAACAAGTGAACCTATTATATCGCCTGTAAGAACGCCGCAACTATCACTATTATTAAATAGATGACCAGATTTCCAACTTCAGCTAACATTGGGAAGGGAGGATCATCATTACTGTGAGCCAAAATTAACTAAAACATGCAAACACAGCGAGAGAAGCAGGTAATATCACCGACAAATCGCAGAGGCGAATCTTGATCTGATGGCTATGCACCACTTTTATTGCTTCGGAAAAGGGTGGCTCATATTGTGAGACAGAACAGGCGATTATGAAGAGGAACAACCGTCACAGGCAATCAGAAGCACTCGGAGTGGCCCACCCAGAAAACGCAAGCTTGAATGACACCAAGTAATAAAAAAATTATCAAGGTGACAAATCAAGTACAGATGCAGGATGGGCTTAAACGAGAAAGCGCAACACTAAATAACCAAATTTTGTGCAAGGAATTTCTACAGGGGACACGTGTGACAGACAATAATAGATTGATAAAGGATCATTCCCATAAAAAGCTTCAAGGAGTTATGGGTGATGGCAGTGACGATCTGACCGCCACTAACTGCTTAAGATTAGCCGAGTAAAATTGGTTACAAAAGAATACTATGGTATCTCTTACTATTTCAGGACAAAATCAGTAGATTATCCAATGCAGTAAATTATGACCTTGCAAATTGCCAAGCAGTCGTGTCATGATGACATGTGCCTGTTGCTGCCTCACGCCTCGATGCGCCTGTCACACACACACACACAGTGAAATGAGATTGTTTTTGCTGCTGCTGTCTGTAGCTGCGGTAGTGGTAGCACTGGCGTTCCCCCCCCCGCTAGTTAAGGAGCAAAAAATCCGCGAGCCTGCACAAAGAGACACGAGATAATCATGCTGACTGTTTGTATAGGAAAAGAAGCCTTTCTAGTTGGCCTTTCGAGCCATTGAGAGGAAAGCGACCTACAGTTGAAAGTGTTGACCCTAATATTATCACCGTTTTCCAAATAAAATAAACGCTTCTACTGGATATCACAGTCATAAGCAGACCGTTTAGGAGAGCATAATCTTGCGATCATTTCTAGTCAAGTACTCTTCAGTCGAGTGCAATGGCGTGGGTTAAGCATTTGAAAGGCCTAACGCAAAAAAGGTGGCAGCGAGTACTGAGGAATGCACAGAGGAAAAGTCGCTATTGCAGCTACTGGAGGGGGGGGGGGGAGGGAGGAGGTGGAGGAAGATTTCCCAATTTCAGAGAGGCGTAAACACACATGGCGACTTTGCGTGCGTGAGTGGGTATAGCAACTTCTCAGCCTAGCATACACACGCACGGATGTGTGAAGTAAACGTTCAAACGGGAAAAAAACAAGTCGCAACACATTACTGCGACGCCAATATTGCACCCGGAAACTGGTACTTGACGCAAAATATCAGGCAAAATATCACATCAATTTGACAATGTCTAAACGTTAATCAAGGTGCAACGTCAATCCCATTAAACCATGTTTTCAATTCCAGCCTTTGCGTCGTTTTCTAATAAAGCATAAGAGTGGCATAGGTGATGATAAAATGGAAGAGTTGACCACTCATCATTCATTATTGCAACTGGGGTGTTTGCTGCATAAGCATGCCTTTCAAAGGAGCAACAGTTTTTTCCTGGTCTTCATCACTCCGCTGACTAGGAGTAGAAATAACACAAAACTGGATTTAAATGCCATGAACCTCAGAATAAGCACATTTTGCGGATGATAAGTTGTGGTTTCTGCAACCCCTTAATGCACTTTGACATTTAAAAAGATACGCAAGGCATTAAAGACAGTGTTCACACTTATGAAGACACAGATGTGGCAAGTTGTGATGTTCTCACCTGAACACTAGGGAAAGAGATAGTCGTCCGGAAAAAGAGCATTCTTGGCTGGGAAAAAATTCGTCCCAAAATTATGCCCCTTATTAATTAAAGGGTAGGGCTAGTATGGGCTCTGAGAAATTAGAGACGTGGAACAGAAGTGGTACGCAAAAAATCAACGTCTCAAAAACAGCCAGCTAAACACGCGAAGAATGGTGTATAAGCTGTGCTTTCATGTCAAGTTGAAACAACTGGTGGGATGAGAGGTGAAGAGATTCAACTCCGTGGTATGCGCTCCAACGCCGACGCATTATGGAGGATTGAAGGTGTGGAAGACAAACAACCCACCTCAATCATAATCAACTAATCTGATAAAAATGTCATTCATTAAAAGTAAAGTGGAGGCGGTGGAAAGGGGCAATTTCGCGAATTGTGGTGCCCTACATCCTAAAAAATTATTTACCCGAGTAACCTTTACGCAATAAAAGGCATCAACAGCGACTCAAAGCATTTAAGATTGGCAAAAGCAGAAAATGTTAAAACTGATTCGACAAATTTTGATGATGAAGAATTGGATCTTTGGAGTTTAAACAGTGAACCCAAAGCCATATCCATACAATTCACCATCACGACTGCTCTGGGCTTCGAAATCATTCCTTTCGAGAGAGCTCGACTCAGCTTATGAGAACACTTACTTTGCATGGGTTGAAAACTGCCCCTGATCAAAATGGAAAATTGTACGATCACTAGGAGATAGTCTGGTTCGAGACAGATACATAAAAGGGGACTTTGTGTTTCAAGCAGAGTTCTGACTTAGTCGAAGAGGTAACAAGTCCTAGCATCAGCATGATGCTGTCCCTCTAACTACAGACCCGTGAATTCATCAGTCCATCCACCCATCCACTAACCCAACCCACTTCCTACATTAGCCACCTCCCCTTCCTCTTCCCCCCTCCGCCGTATTTCTCTCACTCTCACCCTCTGTCCCCGTGTGCGCGCACACAGCTGTTTATGGAAAAAGCAATGGGGACTGACTCACCTCGTCCAGTATGATGGAAGCCATGTGGGATAGCAAAAGCATCACACTAGAGGAGGAACAAAACGATCTCTTCCACGGTTTGCAACGGTGAAGCCTCAAAAGGGGTATCTGGAATGTATTCACTAACAAGCGGAGAGTACCAGGAGTTACCAGGACTCACCACTGCTGATGACATTAAATTGATGTAGCCAAACAATCTGTGCTAGTGGTCGTGACGATGTATTCAAGGATGTATGCAAAAGGCGGTATTACAGAGAAAACATCTTATTCCTTTTGTCAAAGGAAGTTACCGTGGGGAACAGTTGAAAGTGAAGAGGAGCCTTAAAATTTTTCAAGCCTACATGTGAAATATTTAAGATGGATGCAATAGAAATCAAGAATCACTGAAACTATAGAGGCACCAAAAAGTTGCAAGCAATAACCAATTGGTCAAAATGAAGCAAGCACATTAGCCTTAACGATAAAACACCATATACCCGAACTGCACATGAATTATGGGAATTGAAAAAGATGAAATGAATTTCGAGAAGTATTTAGCAGCAGGAAGATAAGCAAAATCATGATACGTACATTAGGCACCTAAGCTGTTTGTGAATGACACTTGAAAACATGAGAGCAGCTTGAAAAGGCCTACCCCCACAGGCGGTGATGAGAAAAGGTAGAGTAGCTTTCGCTTCAGAACCAAGTTAAACGGCACGAAAAGATCACAATTTTGAGAAATGATGAATCAAAGCGACACAGCAAACCATCTCAAATCAGTGCTGCCCACCCCCACCTCCTAAAAATTAGAGATTGCAAGTAGATAAGCGCTCGCACGCACGCACACGCACGCGCACGTACGCACGCACGAAAAAGCACACAGGATGATGTCGGTGCCTCTTTAAGCCACGCACTGTAAACGTCCCCCCCGGCCCCAACCTTGTTTTGGTTACTGCCTTCTGCATATTAAAAAACTAGTTGCCGAACCGCAACAAAGGCGGATGTAACTCACTATGAGGGGGAGAAGACAGGAGAGGTCAGTCTTCGGTCAATCATGTAAGTGATGAGGCAGCTGTGACACGTAATTAAGAGGAGCCCCTACGGGGGCTGTATGTTGCAGATAAGCGGGCTGACGGATGCAGTTTGCCGCACGTAATAAAAAGACGCCTCAAGGTGTGACTGGAATACTGGGTCATTAAGGGGGAAACAAAACTCATGCTTGTCAGCTTGCACTGACCGCCCAAAGAGGACTCAGAAGATAGAGACAGCGCGCAAGTTGTCATACACACAGGTATTTCGTCCACTATGAACGCACAAGACGCATAGCGTCCATGCCGTGAAGTTAACGGTAAGACACAACAAAATACCATGTTGGGTCTTTATGGGGGTGTGTAAGAGCAGAAACGTTTAAATTTTGGTCTCATGGAAGAGATTCACTACTTGATTCCACAATATCGAAGGCCAAACGCATGGGGATAATAGTGAGATTCTAACATGACTCAAACGGTTATACTCATTCTCACGATGACAGTTGGTCTTTGGCGGAAAAAAACCGCCACGTTTGAACAAAATAAAACTCCCACTCATTTAATAAGGGTATTGGAGAGAAGGGTGGGTTACCTCAACGAACCTGTTTACCAATCCTGCCAGAAAACGGTTTTGCCAGATACTTTAAGGGCAAGAGAGTGGGTAAAGAGTTACAAATGTCACCAGCCGTGGGTGTTAATTTATCGAAGTCATCTGATGACCACCATTGAAATGCATAAAAAAGATCTTTACTAACTCAATCTTAAAGAAGGACAAACGGTAATAAAATTGCAGAATTTTCTGCGACCCATGTCATAAAAGGGGAATATCAATATTAATGTTTGTTGTGCAATTATACAAGAAACTTAAGAATAAATAGGAAGCGAATTTCCACGAATGCTATACTCTAGACTTATACTCTTCAAGAAGACGTACAAAAAACAGCTAAATATAAAGACAATCTAAGTTCAAAAAAACCGACCTCCATTTCCGATGACGTATTGAAAGCCATAATGGAGAAACCCTCGATGATAGATTCCTCAAACGGCGGAAGATCAACATCCAGTGCCTTATTTTTCACCAATTTTGGTGATTCCGAGGAACTGTCTGGTACTTCAGAAGACGTGGAAGCGCTTTTATGCAGCTTCGTAGATTTGCTGAGGTTGGTCGACTGATCATTGATTGGACTATTAGTACCTCTCCCTGGGCTTATGGATACCTCAGAAACAACAGATTTAGGTTCACCACGTTTGTCTTTGTGAAGGGACTCATATTGGTCGACATTAAATCCATTTCGAATTCGAAGCTTCCTGATTTCAACAGAGGACAGAACATCAGTGGTTGAGTCTGATAACGTCCCAGTCTCATCAATATTGGGGGGTGACTTCGCATCATTTGCAGGAGAATCGCTTCCACTACGAACAGAAACATGGAGCGAACTGCTGTCGTCGCTTAAATCCATATCACTCCTACAGCTCTGGCTCCGAACAAGTGAGACCTTGGAGCGTTTACTTCGAGATTTAGGACGATTCATGGCAAAAACATCCTCAAAGCGACAATTATAATGAAATAACTGTTGTTGAATGGCGAATTCTTAAATTTATCCCTTATCTAGACACTGAGCATAACTCAGCAGCGATCCCCAAAACACGAAAATAAAACACTGAAACGGGCAGCTCGTAAAACGCGCTTCTTTGCAGGCTCGACAAAAAAAATTTTAATATACATAAATCATTCAATATTGTCCTACATGCACAATTAAAAAGGCAAGTTTTTAGTATTTACGTTAGTTTACAAAATTTAAAATGTAAATTTGCCCAAATAGGCGGTTTGATTTAACTCTCAATATTTAATCGCTTAATATTTTCAGTTATAATAATTTGCCAAAGCTGACGTTTTTAAAAGCTGTTTTACTTTTTTATTGAAATTACTTAAAATGTTTTAACCAAAATATGCTGCTATTAGGGAAATTTTAGGCATTCATTTGCTCCGGAAACTAGTTTATTATGCAATTGTGTTTGAATAAATTGTAATTCAGTTATGATCTAGGTTCACGTCTCATCAATTTCCTGTTTTTTGCTTTTTTAAGCCTACTAACTAAGTTACGCCCGGCTTACAAAACCAGATTCCCTTATTAATACTGCCACTATTATATATATCTATAAAGTTGGATGGGTTTCCTCACAGCATTTTACCCATTTAACATAATACCCAAATTTTGTTTTCTAAGTAGGATGCCAATTTTTATAGTACCTAATAGTAAAAATACCCTTTTTGTAATCTTTGACTCAAAGTACTTGCTTCTAATATGTCTTGGTCGGTAGGGGAGTTTAAGGCATTATTCCTCATTCACACTAGTTTTTTCATGAGATTTCCATCATTATTTGAGATAATAACAATCATTTAATAAGTAATTAAATGGAAAGGTGATCTATGCTGCAACACATTACATGTCCCTGTCCACTCTCATTCAGTTTAATTCATGTCTCATGGGTTAATTCAACCTTATTCAATATTCCTACACTGCCCGACTCCTTTTTATACTTTACTAAAAAAAGCAGCTAAAAATGTCAGCATACTTAAAATTAATTTGATAGCACAAAATTTAGTAGACACGTATGTTTGCTGGATTCCACAATTTCACACGCCAATGAAAGTTATTCGTGAAAAATTCTCTCCCGTCTTGCGTTGTTTCCACTATTCACAAATGAAGATCATCGAGACCAGTTGACGCAATATGATCTGATAGAAAGAGGGAGGATGGTCAGCATAAATCCTCACTATGGGCCCAAGCTTGATGAAGAGGTTCCGTGGATGTGGGCGGCTGTGAATCCATTAAATGTGTTAGCTCATGCTGGTACTCGCCTGGCATAGAGCATTCCGATTCTATCGGTCAAAATAGGGTGTCATTAGTCCACGACTTATCACCGGAAAATGGTATAATTAGTTTTAGGGCAAAATTGAAATCCAGTTACAATAGTGAATGAATCTGATTTTAGCATTGGCTTGTTAACAATAAAACAACGACACAAAGTAAATGTAATTATTAAGTTGTTAGTTCAAAGCTCGATTTTGGTAAAAAATCCACTTGGGTGCTCTGCCATTGTACCTTTGCCGGGAACATTGGCCTCCGAAACACGGCAGTAGCCCCAAGCTCTACTGATATTGAATAGACATACTCTACCTAAGTATTATGGCTTCTTTTGTTCCTTCAGGGAAGTCTCAGAGCGCTACAATACGAATGAGCACTATGTTCAAAATCCTGGGGATACAGAACACTTATAGGAGCAGTTAATTCCTTTTTCTTTATTTCCTCATTTACTATCTGGGATCAATGCTCACCAAATAGTGATGTGATTGTTTCGGGTGGGGAAGCAAATGGAGCAGACCACTTGTTATTCCGGTTGGAGAGCCAAAGCTGTATGCGAGTTTCAGGCGAGCACAAACTGGTAGCTGATCCCTCCTCCTGAAAGAAGACCTCCTGATGCTGCGACCCCTCGATCTCTGCATAAGAGGAAGAGTGATCTGCCACTTATCCAGTCCTAAAAGCTCTAATTACCTTTTCAGAACTGTTTGATCGAGCATTTGAGGCGTTAGGAAGTGAAAGTTCCCAGTTAAGGTGAGATATATTAGTTTATGTGTAGTTGGTAGGGGGTAAATGCAGTCAAAATTTGGTAATTTAAAGATGAGCATCAAAGTGACTACCTATATTTTAAAGTGAAGATATGAAGATTTACCAGGTACCAAGTAGGTGAACGGCCCTTCCTTAAGATTTATTTGCTCAAAACAGGAAGATGTACCTCTTTCGGACTCCACTGTTTGATCAATAGTTGTAAATGGAATTCTTTGGTACTGCTGGACCCGAAGCGTATCCGTTTCTGTAAAAGCTGTCATTCGCGTTGATGGTGGACTCAATGATCGGATGTTCTGGAGTTTATATGCTTCCATAGGATCTGTTAGGTAACCAACTTGTTGTTCGGTTTGGAAATGTGGAACTGAATTTGTGACAGGGAGATAATTTATCAGAAGACCAAAGGTTCTGTGAGGTAATGAACAAATCAAAGCAAATATCCGAAGACTTAGCCTAAGGCATCTTATCAAAAACATTTCCCATTAATGTATCCCACTATTACAAAACCATTAAAATCATTATTTCGACTCACTTTGGCAGACATCACAATTGTGTTATACATGAGCTGACTTGAAGATCATAATCACTTACCACAATTATGATCGCAGAAGCGCGACGAATGTGTAAAACTGTCGGAAGACCAGAGGATCGAGGAGGGTTCAGACTTAGAGATCCACTTAGCTGCTGCCAGCTCAGGCCATTGTAGCTGCCACCCTCCAAATTCGCCACTAGCGTTGTCATGGCCACTGTAGTAGATACCCAACCTTGGCATGGACCAGGAGTCCGTCCACGTTGTACACGACTGTCGATGCTCTTGAAGGTATCCAAGAGAATCTAGATTCATGCCTCCACAAGGTGCTGAAGTCATCGTTAGAGTCGAGTTGGCTAGAATAGTGCTCGGCCTGTCTTGTTGTTGTAGGTTGTACTCAGGTGATGAATTCTTGGTCTCCGCAGAGAGGTTTCGCAACACCCGATTGATTGATGAGACCTAAAGTAGACCAAAAGGCATTTAATTTGGTAAATAATTTGATTTTTTCCAGACTATAGCATGTAATCGCTAATTTTTTTCCTCTACCATTCAAGGATTTAGAAATAAGCTTAGCTGTTGCCCTAGCTTTCGAAGGATTATCAATTGTAGTTTTCCTTTGAGTCAAATCATAGTGCGGTTATTTTAATAATCCGACTGTCATAACTCCAGCCACTTCCATTACGCAAAAAGGATTAAATTACTTAGGACCATAATCCCTACTGAAGGGTTTAGATTGAATGCTTACAACTGTTAGATGTTAGATACTTGAGTTATATAAGGCGTTCAAATTTGCACAACCGTCTCTAATACGCACACTAGGGAGGTTGGTCTGAGAGCAGGCTCCCTCCTCGAGGAGGCGTTCGCGTATCTCCCACGCGAAGATGGAAGGGCAGGCGCGTTTGTAGGCGGCAATTTTGAGAATCACCGCATTGGTAGCCACCCGTGGCTTGCTGCCTCCGATGGCCTTGGGTCGGATGGATCCAGTCTCATGGAAGCGGCAGAGGATCTTTGACACGCACCCGTTGGAGACTTGTAGAAGGCGTGAGATGTCACAGGGCCGAGCTCCACCCTGTGCCAGCTCCACGATCCGCTGACGCGTTGACTCGGGCAGAGGACGACCGTTCACAAACAGCCCGCCTAACTGATTGATTCCAGAGTGGCCTAAACGGCGGAGGGAAAGGTAAACGGAAAACATCTTTCATCAAAGTCATTCCCCTAACTGCTTTTCTATAAATGAAAATCTTTCGCTGATATTTGTAATAGCTAACTTCACTTTCACCCTTGTACGGTTTACTTGTACCTACTGTCAGAGGAATTGGTATACCAGGATGTAAATTTCACTTCGGAGTTTAATAAATAGGCGGTTCATGGGAGCGAAGGTCAAACATAAAAAGCAATTACTTAAGTAGGTCTTTATGCAATGGGCTAATTGCCTGTACAACTCCAAATTTTGACAAAGGGTCACTACTAGC